TTTGTTTTTGTCTGTTTTTGTTTGTTTTTGTTTGTTTGTTTGTTTGTTTGTTTGTTTGTTTGTTTGTTTGTTTGTTTGTTTGTTTGTTTGTTTGTTTGTTTGTTTGTTTGTTTGTTTGTTTGTTTGTTTGTTTGTTTGTTTGTTTGTTTGTTTTAGTTAAAATCTATAGAATTTATCCGCTATTTGCAACCGAAACAATATCCATTTCAGTCTAAATGTTCCTCTGATAGTACTCTGGAATCGTTACCTTGTTTCCAAGTGATACAGTGACACCAGTGCCAATACGAAAGTCCTTTATATATCCAAGTTTTCCGTCAATAAATAACTGTGAGTATAAGAACTTGTTAAGATGCACGATTTCAGGCAGGGACAGATATCCTCTCTCGTACACACGGAACCATGATGGAAACTCAGCAGGTGCTGACTTTATAACGACTCTGTCATCCGCCTGGACATGCAGCATGCCCGTGTTATCTCCAGAGAATTTATTTATAGAGACATCTCCTTTCACACTCAACACAAATGACGCATGCGCTCCACCGAGCAACCGCAGCTCATCGTACTCTAAATCATCAATTGACTGAACTAGCACCCACGCCTTTCCGCTATTTTCATACTGATTACGGCTGACAAGGTAAGTGTCAACAGGTACATGTCCACCATTGTTTATTTCCAGATTACGTAATGTTTCATATCCTGTACCTGTTTTGCGATAAATCGTCCCCGGTCCCCCAGGCTCAACACTACTTGCACCACCCAGGGCAGAAATTCTGCCGCTGAATTCAGTTTCATTGCAATGAACACTGAGTCGTCCACCGCTACCACCTCCTCCGTTGTTCACAGCTTTCCCGCCATTACAAAGCAGTCGACCTTTTCCTATAAACCTGTCAGCCAATATCTGAACACTCCCACCACTTCCGCCACCAGCTCCGGCTTGAGCGTCACTTCCACTGACGTCAATGGTACCATCAATGTCGATGACTTGTGCTTGAAGAGTGATGACACCACCGCCTGCTCCCCCTGGCTGCAAGGGAAAACGAATCACCAGTTACATTAAAATGGAATGGCCAGTTTCAGATTTAACTTCCACTACCGCTACCTCACTGGCTTAGTGCGCATCTGATTGGTTAATTTGATATAGCAAACGCATCTGATTGGTCAGTGGTCCTTAATGGTAGCGGTAGTGGAAGTAATATCTGAACCTCTCTGACATTGCAATGAAAACAGTTGATATGCTGTAGGCATAAACCTTAATGTTTGAAACATCTCCAATTGATTGATTTTTCCGCTAATGTATACCAGTACTCAAACATAATTTGCCTAGGTACTGTTAGTGTACTTGAAAACACGAACGTCAAATGTCATACAGCATAATTCAAACGTTAAGCGAGATTTACCAAATTAGATAATACATGTACGTCAAGCTTGAAGTGTTGAGTGTGTTAATTTTGAGGGCACATTTTATAACTTTGGAATTTATGTACATTATCATACCAAATCACGAGCACCCCGTCCTCCACCACTGCCAAATTCCTGAGGTCGAGTAACAGAACCATAGGCCTCCCCCACCCTTGTTTGCTTTCCACGTCCTCCTGTACCGCCATGTCCTGCTCCTGAGCCACCTTGCAAGAATGAAACGCCAGGTCCAGGCCCTTGAGCCGAGAGATAACCACGGCCACGAGCAGTCAAAATGGAAGATGTGTCAAGTTGAATTTTCCTTGCCTGTGAGAGAAAAATATTATTGGACATTTTACTTAGAATATTCTACCGATACCTTATAGGGCAGGTGTTAATTCATGGTCTCTTTCATAGTTTAAACATGCAAAAATCAAACGATAATCCGGATACTGGTCATATAGGATTGCCTGAAATCACAAGGAATCTTTGTAGTGTGTCATTATACATATAAGCAATAAAATCATATTGACCTTGACTGAAATTCCACTGGTGTCCGCCGTACCATAAGCATTAACAACAAAATCATCTGTTAGAGTTACATTCAGTTGTCCAACTGTTAAATCACCTAATGACTGGTGAAACAATCCACCTGTAAATATGCGCAAGCTGTTGAGTTTTAAGCTGCTTGGGATCTCCGTGTTTAAAGTTGCTTCTGGGAAAACATTAAATACGCCATTTTCGTCAATTCGTAATTGTTTTAGCCCCAATATTTCTCCTTTTGCAACAAGCACGCCATTTGTGACATGTGTTTCTTCAGGAAGAACAATTGTAGATTTCTAGTTATGAAAGATAGAGAATGGTATAGTAAGCAATAGTTGTATATTAAATAATCAGTTCATTAGTTAGCCATTCAAACTGCAAGCCTAACAGTCGTGCAGCCATTTTAAAAAAACTATTTTAATTACTTTATAATTAAAAGCTCAACTAAAAAGCTAAGCATTCTGGAACACATTATCTAACCAAGTAATTAATTAGCGAACTGATGAACTAACTTAAATATACATAAATGTGTACATATTACCTAGCGGCTTATGTCACTTTCTATTAACTATAGCAAAGTTAATAACCAACTCTTCTAATGAAAACCTACCTACTAACTAACTAACCAGTAAATAACTAATTTAATAATTTAAGAAACTAGCCAAGTTGTTGACCAACTATTAACTGATCTATAAACTAATAATGGCACTAACTAACTAACTAACTATAACCAACAGTTTTTTATCACAAGTTTTTTACAACTGTGACTTTTATACCTTATATGTCTGTATATTGAACGGCAACACTGTCATCTCTTGTGTTGATATATTCACCGTCTGTTGAGAACCAACATGAAGACTGCCAGTATGATCACCACCCACCTCACCAACCACCATACTACCATTGTATGATGGCTGTGGTAATATTCCAACATGCCCAGAACCACTTATATGCAGAAAATCAAACTCAAATTCACCAGACTGGTCGTCTTCAGCAACCAACCATGTTCTTGCACTATCCTGAACGATGTTCCTTTCATTGAAATCTCCAGTATCTCGACCGATAAATAATTTAATTTCTGACAACGAGACATATTTCTCTAAAGCTCGAAGCTTGATTTCTATTGATGTTATTTCACTGTTGACTTTAATGTCTTGAAATACACCAGTATTGAAGCAACCGCTGGATGAGACACCGGAGGGCGTCAGATTAATCTTTCTCTGCTGTCTGGTGATGTATACGTTATAACTGACACGGTATTCTGATGTACATGTCTAGAAACAAAATGAAGTAATTACAAAGTATTACTTAAATAATTATTATTAGCAACCCTCCAATAATTTCTGGTCTCTGAAAAAGTCAAACGTATCAATAATTTGGGGTCCAGTATCGGCTTAGAACACAAAAGTTGTTTGAAATTCACGACAGCGATTTGAAAGTTTATAATAATGAATTTATTTTACAGGCTTTGTCTCGAATTGCGCGGACTGGATATCCAGTAAAGTCCCCACAGATTTGATATATTATTAATCTTTGAAAGCTTATGCTTTTATTAACTGAGTTAAACCACAAATGACTTCATTCTGCAAAAAAGGTAATTGCCCTTAAATTAGGTTATCCAGCGATATTAAATGCAACGTATTTAACCAATCGCAGAATTGATAGATCATATACTTACCGGGTATATTCTGATAAGTTGTAACCATGTCTGCCCAGAGAAAGTGATTGTCAACGTAGCAGACGTAGAGGTGGTTGCATACAATGTATTTATTCTACCGTCAAATACGTTGTAAAGTTGAAGATAATTATAATGATCTAACCATATTGGTGGAGCACTGGTTGTTATGGTGATACCCTCGCGTGCTTTATACGTTCTGGAGGACTGGGTACCACCTGAGCCGCCAGATAACTTCAAAGGTTCAAGGAGCTAAAACGTGAAAGATTATTAGTAGTAGCAATAGCAGTAGCAGTAGCAATAGCAGTAGCAGTGGCAGTAGCAGTAGTAGTAAAACAATAATTTAAACACTTTACCATATCTACCTAAGTTGTTTTCCACAAGTGAAGGGGCGTGTACAAGATTATAAACTGAAAGGAAACAAATGCTGCAAAGCTATGTACAAGGAGTTAAAACGACCATTATTTTAACTTGTCGCATAGTCTTTTGAATGGTGTTTCACTGTATATCGATTTGGTGTCAATCAAAAATCAAGCACGTTTCGTAAAATTCTGGAAGAATAAAGTATGGCAGCATTCTACAAATCTACAGTTCGTGTTCGAAGACCAGTCACATTCAATCTCTTTGATATTGCCTCTTTGAATCGAATCGCTTCTATTGCCAAACATTTTTTTTCTTTCTCCGTTTTTTTCTAATTTCTCGTTTTCCACCATTCTGCAGTCAAATGGGATTGCAAAATCTCTGATCTGGTATTGCTTATTTAATTGGCACTTATATTATTAGATCTGGCCTTCTAGCTTCTATCTACTAAAATCCAGGACTAATTAAAGTACTTTACATAATTCAATTATCCATAACAGGTTGCGGTTGGCGTTCATACAATTTTTCTGTTAAAACAATATCAAACTTTCGGCAATTCTCCCAGTGAATTCTCTTTCCTACCCAGTCATGTCGTCCTTATATTCATTATTGCGATTACGATTATGCTTATGAATATCATTATGATTGTGATTATGATTAGGGGTCATTCACAAAGGATGTTCGGCCCAATCATGGATTTTCAGACCCCCCTCCCACCCTTGTCCGGCATTGTCCGAATTAGTGACCCCCCCCCATCCCCCGGACATCCGCCATGCCTCGCAAAAACTCACGCAACCTTGTATATGTCAAGAGTAAAAAACGTTTTTTACTTTTATAACTATAAATGTGAATACAAAAACATATAAATTATTAATTAAAACAAACAACTGTGTTACTGCAACAACAGGATGAACTTATTGTATAGAAAAGGAGAGTTATACATGCAGAAAGCTTTTATTTGACGCAACTGTTAAATTCATCATTGAAGGAAAGAATTAGATAATATTATGAAGTGTTCAAAATGCCAATTTCACAATGGGAAGGAGAGTTCAAAATAGAGGAAAAAGAAATTTGTTTTTGAATTTTTTTAAATTTCGGACATCCTGATTGCTAAAAAGCCCCCTCCCCCTCTATGTCCGAGTTTGTCCTGATTTTTCAAACCCCCCCCCCCTCGGCTCGGACATCCTTTGTGAATGGATTGATTTAAGGATGAATGGATGAATTTTATTTAAGGTGGCCCAATACAGTTTTTAAAAAAATGGAAAATTCACGATTTAGATTCGTATTTTTGGAAAATTATTACTTGTTGAAAAACAAAAAGCGTCTTACTGATGTAAATAACATCTAAAAAGTTTGAATTTTAGCACATGTAAATGCCGTTGCTATGGCAACAATAACGTTTTAAGATGGCGGATATGTTGGCTTTAAAGTAATTTAACTCGAAAAGATGAAAATGACATTGGTGATCTCCAATTTTTGGTCGGTGAGGCCACCCTTACGAAATAAAAATAAAAAGATTTTGACCATGGAACAGGGTCCAGTTTTGTATTTCCTTTTGGGAATTTTGAAAGTAATATATTAAGAATTCACTAAAAGTTATCACGACGTTTCACTGTTATGTTATCGAGGAGGGAAGTGGATAATTTGTATGTATCGATTAGTAGATATGACTAAGCGTTATTGTTACATGGTTGTATAGATACAGGTTATTAGCTAGTCGCTTAGTATTAAATCATGCGAAATACCTCTCCTCTCACAAGGCATTATTTTTTTAGACAATAGTTATAATGCATCTAGTTTCGAAGAATATTCTTGCCTTCCAGCCTTCGACGCACTAACTAGCTAGCTAAGTTCGGTTTTAACTTAGTGGACAGTTGGTAACATAACACCAGCCGATCTGTATAATGACAACAGGATAAACGCTTATTTTAACACATTAAAACAACATTGCTACATGGTTATACTTGTTTTAACTATTAGCGCTAACTGCCAGGCAATCTGCAAACTTCAAGAATCAATATTTTCTGAAAAACAAACACGCTCTTCTTTAGTGGTATTTTTTAACTTAACGTTGCATGTTTCCATCGCCCCAGGGACTTAATGCTCCGTGGAGCGTCTTGTTATATCATAAAATGGTTTCTCTAGTCTTAGTATATTGAATTGCGTTGACAATTTAAAAAAATTCTAATGAGCCGACATTTTTCAAATTATGTAAAGGTGATTGTTCATAATACAAAAAATTGCCAAAATCATTGATTACGCTAAGAGAAATAACTTTTTGAAATTAATTTTGGGGTTACCAATGCCAAAATATCCGCCATTTTGAAACGTCATTGTTTCCACAGCAACGGTAGTTACATATTCAAACTCTTTAGTTATTGTTTCATATCAGTAAGATACTTTTTGTTTTTCAACAAGTGATAATTGTCCAAATTTTAAGTCTGAATCGCGATATTCCAATTTTTCAAAAACTGTAATGAGCATATTATATAATTTACTGTTGTTGCATGATATATGGTAATTAATATTTGATTCTGGACTGCTGGATAATAAAACCAGAGTACATTGTCTGAGAGTTATAAAACCTACCTCGTTCACTCGCTCTGTCTGTGGTGCATGGCCATTGTTATTTACGTATAAACTCCTCTTTGTTACATTATCTGACGTCATATGATCATAGTATATTGTTCCAGCTGCACCGTACTCCTCGTTGCCAAATCCACCATAAGCTTCAAATATCCCATCATAATCCTCGTTATCCTTATAATACACCGCTATCCTACCGCCGGAACCTCCCCCTCCTCCTCGGTGCCCATTATTGTACCCATTACCACCATTTGCCTGAAATAAATTATATATTCAATAATCTGAATGTGCTTCAGGAAACAAATCTAGTATTATATGAATTGGGCGCAAAAAAGTTTCAGTAGGAAAATTGGCAGTAACCGATCTTTATTTATAATATAGTCATTATGTATGATAATCATCCATCCTATACGAGCTATTATGCAATCTGATTGCTTGATCGTCCTATTGATTATACGGCGAATAGCAAAAAAAGGGATGGCAGAACAGGAACAACAAGACTGTTGCGGACCAACCAACAGCAAAATATATCGTTTAAACTCATTAATTCTGACCATAAAACATAAAGTTTTAACCTGTAATTTTCCACTGCCATCTAGCCGTTGTGTTACGACATATATACTCCCGGCACTTCCACCACCGGCGTATCTACCCAAGGCATTTTGCCCATTGACCAAAAGAGCTCCGTTCACTGTGACACGATGGGATATATTTAGGAAGAGGACACCCCCTCCTACCCCTCCACGTTCCTTTAAACTGTTGCCACCAGAACTTCCTGTTGAAAGATAAATACACTGATGTCATATTATCACTGGATAGAGCAATATTGTATACACATAACATCACGTAATGTATCGCATAATAAAATACAGATATAACTACGATAGTCAAATTTTTGCAGAAACATAGATAACTAAATACTACTAAATTGTTTTATTCTTTCATAGAATTTGTAAACCTTATACTTCTGCAAGCTATAATTTCATAAATTCTAATCAAATTCACCCCACAATTAGTTAATTAAAAATCGGAAGCACGTTGCTTACCAAAATCCAGTGGTTTAAATACAGATCCATAGGAGGGCCCAGACAATATTCTAGCAACCCCTCTACCACCGCGCCCGCCATGACCTCCTCCTGATCCACCCGCTTGGAATCCTGGGATATAATCAGCGCCCTTGCCTGGCCCTGAAAATGTAATCAAAATTATTATGGTATAACGTCAAGTGCTGGTGGCAAAACTGCTAAAATTGAGGTGGTACGATTGTGTTGATCGTGTTAAAAACACTTCGTCGTTTCGAGTGAAAGACTTGGCCAAGGGAGTTATCAGACAGACAAGGAGAAACATCTACAATTTCTTATATCTACGTCATGGGCCACCCTTATATTTCAAATTATACAATATCTGGCAACTCAAAGTTCTGGCCAGCTAAAGTTGCTTCAAACACAGCCAGCGCATCCACTGTCACATTAATTGCATTCACATGAAGATTAACCGCTGACAACCTTCCACCGGCATGCACATAAATAGAATGCCCATTAAATTCACGGATGTTGTCTTGATTCGTTACGATCATTGTGCCATGGTTGCGGATACTGATCTCTTCAAAATCAAATGTCTTAAAAAGAGAAGAATATAATAATTGAAATGTGTTTTAAATATAGAAAGAAAGTTCCCTACGAAGCAGCAGACGTTCTTGGAACTATTAAAAAGACACTATTTCATTTCGCTTAACTGACTATCTCAAGACAAGTTTTAGAAATGGAAACGTGTTAGTAACACAATATTTTCCCGTTTTTGAACAGAAGGGCAAAACAGAAATACAAATTAATTTTATTTTTATTTAAGCGCGTTGTCATGCATTAAGAAAGACACTTCTCTCTCATTTTGAAAAACATGTCGTTCCCTCTTACTTAACGTGTTGAATTTGAATAATGGCTTCGCAGTGATTTCAAATATTATAGACCAATTGCGAAACTTAGTAGCCGCGCCTTCATACTGCACGAGAACGAGGCTTATTATGCAAAAAAAAAACAATTTCTATATTTTTATATAGCGAAAAGTGAATTTTAGGGTTTTTAAAGTGTTTTTTCTTGAATCTCTTTGATATTTTCTTAATATTTCGTGCTAGGTTATATAAATATTTGTTAAATTTATCTAAACATCGATTTCCCACTATACTTTTACTCGCTTTGGAAAGATATTTCGTTGTTGTTTTAGCATGCGATAGAACAAACATACGGAAAAGATCAATCTAGACTTTAAAATCTGATCAAGATGCAAATAAAATAGCCAGTATAACTTAACAAACTAAAATATAACTCTTTCTACCCAGATTTTTTT